GTGGTTCTGGTGAATGATCCAGACCATCAGCTGGTGTCTGGTGGTTCTGGTGATCAGATGAAGACGCCTGACTCGTGCTAACTTCTTGTCTTCTGTCCAGTTTCCTGCTGGTGCTCGACTACTTCAGCATCAACATGGCCACCATCAACTCCTGCATCAACCCCATCATCCTCTACTTCGTCTCCAAGAAGTTCAAGACCTGCTTCAGGGTGAGAACCGAGAGCTGCAGCACGAGACGCAGAGCGACGCCATGAGACCAGAACACGACCACAAGGAACGTTACACAACCCACTGTGACAGAGTGACCCGGACCAGCTGGACCAACCAGAGACCATGTTTATGGGAGGCTCTGAGTCGCTGTGACCTCGCTGTGATGTCACAGTGATGTCACAGCGAGGTCACAGCGAGGTCGTGAGACTTGGACGTATAAACAGAGAATGTTTGACTTTCTGCAGAGTAGAAGCAGATGTGTGAACCCAGAGGTTCTGACCCGAATAAACACTTCAGGCAGCAGCAACGTTTCACTTTAAGTCCAGTTTAAATAAGCGACAACGTTCCTCCAGCGTCTGCAAACTTTAACACTAACCTTAACCGTAACCTTAACCTTAACTAACCCACGGGTCACATCAGATGAAACTAATTAAAATAATTCAGACTAATGAATGAGGTCCGGGTCTGAAGCAGAACCAGATCAAGTCCAGACAACGTTTCTCTTCTGTCCAGTCCGTGCGATGAGGACTGATGTGAGGGGTTAACTAGTGGGACTAACAAGCTGCCGCGCTACTAACTAACCTGGTTAACTCCCATATGAGCAGACAGAACCTCCACAGCTCTGATGTGGACCGGTACCAGGATGTGATCGTGACTGACTGCAGCTGTCTCTCTGTCTCTCCTCAGTCGTGTCTGTGCTGCTGCTGGTATTCTGGTTCTGAGTCCAACAGCCTGCTTCCTCTGCACCACGGGACCAGCCTGCAGCACTGAGGCGGCACCAGCTCGCCAGCAAGTAGTCTGCACCGCCTCACGCTGGATCCACTACGTAGACACGACCACAGCCTCCTGTCTGCTGTGTGAACGCCGCTCCGTTTGGGTCAGAACCCTGCAGGGATCCGCTCTGTCTGGACACATCGTTAATCTAGATGGCAGCGGGACACAGAACCGCCGATACGCTGACCCGAACCGCAAAACGACTGAAAGGTCACAGAAGAGACAGAAAACAGACACAAACAAACACAACACGACCTCAGGAACCCAGAAAACAACCAACATGGGTCAGAACACGCCTGAAATGAACAAAGACACAGAACACAGAACACCAGAACCAGAACATAGAACACCAGAACCAGAACACAGAACACAGAACCAGAACACAGCTCAGTCTGGTCTGCTGCTCTTCAGCTCGTCTGGATCTGGAGGTTCCTAACGATCTGTCCAGACAGAACAGAACCAGGAACCTGCGGCTGAGTTCTGGTCCAATCAGCAGGATTCACACTGACAGGCAGAACCGGCTCATTTATTCTATTTATTGTGACGTTAGATGAGATTGAAGGCGTCTGCAGCAGCGTCTGGACTGGCGCCGACTCGTGGACTCAGACGTAGAACCTGAGGTTCTGCTGCTGCGGCACCACTGCGACCCAGATGTGTGTGACGGGCTTTCAGCTGATGTACTGTATTTAATTGAAGGTGTATTTCTAATAAAACTCTGCTGCTTTCCTGCGTCTGCGTCGGTTCTGTTACTGAGAAGCTTCACTTCAACTCGTGGTGCCGCTGACGGTTCTGAGGGTTCTGAGGGTTCTGAGGGTTCGGGTTTGTCTCCACCCCACCAGCTCCTGTTAGTCTCATACAGTCCAGTTTCAGCTCATAACTGGGAGCTTCAGTGGTTCTGGTTTGGACTCTCAGCTCATGATTTGGACTTTTATTAATTTTAAACCTCATTATTCTGAGTCGGCCTCTTAAACCAGAAGGTTTTATGATTGTTATTGTTTCGTAATCTGGACTCCTGGTTCCTCAGCACTTCTTCTCACCCTCCAGTGTTCCTCTGTTCCCTCAGAACTTCACGTTTTTCTGTTTCTGAGCTTCAAACCCAGAACTTTGATTTTTTTTTGCCTCTGAATTGTAATCAGGAGCATTTCAAACATTCTGACAGATCTTCAGTTGAGCATTTTTAAAAATCCCTAAATTAAAGAGACATGTAATCCGTGTGTCTGCGCCGCTTTTCTGCGCACCACGTGACCGCGGCGGCGAAGCGTCACCCTGGTGACGTCGGAGCTCGGTAACGGTAACGGCAGGACAAACAGACGGACGGCTGCAGACTCCCGCTCCCGGTGAGTGATCGATTGATCAGTCCGCTGATCGGAGGCCTGTGCCGGGATCGGACGGAGCGAGGAGCCGGTCCGGTCCGGTCCGGTCCGGTTCGGTGGAGGAGGAGGAGGAGGAGGATGTGTTGCCTGGTAACAGCAGCAGGTCGGAGGATGGAAACAGGCCGAGAGTCGCTCTGAGAGAAGCTGCTGCTGCTCCTGGACGTTGATCGGTTTCCTTGATTCCAGAAACACCGAGTGTTTAGCTGCAGCCTGATCCAGATGTTCTGATGGAACCAGCAGATGGTTCTGTGACCCACAAACACCTTCACGTGTTGCTATTCAGAACTAATTTAATGACTGATGTTCATGTTTTCATCTATAAAATTCAGACTTTTCATGTTTTTACGGTTTCTTATTGTTTGTAATAAGTTGGATTTTTATTTTTATTTTTTTTTGATGCACAACTTTTAATCCAAACAATTGTTTTTTAAATTCTGCCATATATATATATATTTACCTCAGTTTTTCATATTCCAGATTTTCTGTCTCAAAATGTTTTAAACCTCATATTTTAAAGATTGAACTCGAAACCTTTTAACTGACGGTTCTGTTCACTTTCATGTCCACTTATTTTCACTCTGACTCCTTTATTTAAAGCGTCACTGAGTCGTCCTGTAAACGCGTCTTTCTCGTGTCTGTTTTACATTCAGCAGCGTGTCACAGCTTTGCGGCGTCGACTCAGCCCATCGCGGTCCGGTCTGGTCCAGGTCAGAATAAAACCCGCTTCACGTCTATGTCTATGTGTTGATGCATCTCTACCAGCTGCAGCCTCACCTGTCCTCTGGCTCTCAGGATGAACCTGTAGGTGGCGCTCTGGGCCAAGCAGCTGTCATGCCGTGTTCCTGTGCCGAGTGGAGGAGGTGGATCCGCCCGCTGGTTCTGGTTCTGTACGCTCTGCTGCTGGTGGCCGTGCTGCCGCTCTGCATCTGGGAGCTGCAGAAAGACAAGGTTCCTCCTCATTTAGACACGGACCGGACCAGAACAGAACAGA